ATCCTCCCCCTCCTCACTGTTGTGATTTTCCCTATCCTTTTTTCTACCTCCTTTTTTGTCCGTGCACCTTCACTCTCACTCACACAGACCAGTTAGGCCCCCACAGGACCTAAAATCAATTGACAGATCTGACAGAGCTTAAAATAATCAACCTAGTTGTGAGAAGAAGTCTTAACAGTAACATGTGTCGTAGCTCACTTCCTCACTTCCTCCTTGTACTGCTTCCCCTCCTTCTCTGAGTGCGAGGACTGCCAGCCATCTCAGGACTCGTGGCAATTATTTAATTTAAATATATTTTTTTATACATGAGTGGGCAGACATGCATTTTAATCTATTTACCTTCTCTGACAGGATGTCTTTCGTTTGATTATGTTTTTCAATGGGGTAACACATGACTGTTAAAGAAGAACAGAGAACTAAATTAGTCTTTGTACATTTTTTTTAAATAAGCCACTACCTATATTAATCCCTCAAAGGTGAAACAGGGTCAGCAACCTGTTTGACCCCCTTCATAACAGCTCTTCCATGAAAATAAGACAGATTACAAATTGACAAGTAATACTGTACCCTGTAATTAATACATTTGTATTCTGTTATTAGGAGCCGTGTGGTGCAGTGGGTTGTCCGTAGGTGTTCGGATCAGGGGGTCAGGTTCAAACCCCACTGCAGTCAGCATGTCGTTGTGTCCCTGAAGGCACTTCACCCCAAATTGCTCCTGTGGGGATTGTCCACAGTATTGAGTATGTAAGTCGCTTTGGATAAAAGCGTCTTACAAGTAACATGTAATGTAATGTATTTAAACATTGCCTCGAATTTCCCCCTAAAACAACGGTTACCTGCTTATATCCTATTTTGCCAACTTTTATTCTACTATAATATAGGTAACCAAAAAGCATTGATTTGATACTTTTATACACTAAACTATACCACAAGGCTGTAGAGTTTGAAAGTATTATAGTACGTATACCATAATGGTGTATTTGACTACAGGATGATTCACGTGTTGTGTGAAAACTGCCTATTTCCTGAATAATGATTTAAAAGTTAAAATAAAGGTTATTGTCACTTCTTAATTGGTGATCCCTCTGTAAATTGTGACCCCCAGAGAGCTGATGAAATATCATCGATATTCACCTGGGATAAGAATAGCATCTGGAAGCAACATCTCAGTCTCACTAATTTGGGTAATTAACGACAACGTTCACAGTGATGCATCGAGCAGAAACTTCAAACAATCCCTTTCCCCTCTCTGTATCAACCTTTAACTAATGAGTTCTCCTGCCAGTTGAGCTGCCACGATGAGATAAACATTGGAAAACTGTAGCGTGACGCCGTGACCCATGTCTGATGTAAAAGACACATTTGATGAAAACAGTCCATTCAAATCCTTGTTTTTTCCTCTGTGTTCTTTTATTCTTTTCATGCCACAGTAAGTCCATTCGTTCAAAATCTTCAGGATGCTATTGATTTTTAAAGGTATGCAAATGTTTCTGAACCCATTGCTGAAGTCAATGGGTTGGGAAACATCAATAGTTTTCCTCAACTCAAATGTAGCTGCACCAATTAAGGACAACTTCATATGGTACATTAAGCATGAGATGAATCATTCTATATTAATCATCTCTCAATGTTGGATTGTGCAGACATGCACCTTGCCAATGGATGAAGGAAGCTGGAACCTCATTGAGAAACAGCACACTTTAAATCCTGCATGACTGTGATTGAGATTGTAGAGATAACAGAAAGGCATGTGTTAAAAAAGAAAGAAAATCAATCAGAGGTTTTAGTTTAGTCCTTATAATAAATAATTTAGTCTGTTTTCCTTTTTCTTCATTCTATTTCTCTCTCTTTTCTCTCTTTCGCTATAGCTGTCAGAGGAGGAGAGGAGTAATTACATCCTGCCGCTGACCCACACTGGCCTGCAGCCCAACAAGGAGGACCTGTGGCGGGCCACACAAAAAATGAAGAATCAGAAAAAAAGATGTATTATGAGAAACATCAATATCAAAAATAGGAGGTAAAGTAGACGAAGAAATAGCAGAGGGGAAGAAAGATAAGAGAGTTACAGAGAAAGAGAGTCTGATGAATGACAGAAAGAGGTAGAAGAAGAGAGGCGAGATTAAAGGACAGGGGGCGAGCCGGATGGCAGAGGGAGAAAGGGAGGGTAAGCTTCCGACAAAAGGAAGTTGGAGACAATCCAGTTAAACACATGGTGAGTAAGTGCATGTGCGTGTGTGTGTGTGTGTGTGTTTGTGTGTGTGTGTTTGCCTGCATTCTCGTACATGGAGCAACAACGTGTAAGGGAGTGCAAGCAGTTGATGGTCACAGCCCTAATAGCATTATCTTACTTGATGCCAAATCTGAAATATACGCTAGAAGACTAGATTGTGGGCTGTTAGGGATTTCATTCTAAATTAAGCCTCCTAGGAGAAAATGTGCATGTAAATCCATGTAACAAATCATTACTGTATGTATGCACAACAATTAAAAGCATTTAAATCAGAGATTCAAGGCAGCTGAGTGGATGCTACGATAGCTTGTAAGGATGAGTGCGCATGCACATACAAATTAGGAAGTGTGCTCAAGTCAGGATGATTATTATTAGAATACATCAATTGTAAAACACACACAAGTGTGACAGAAAGGGAGAGCGGAGAAAGCAACGGATTGGAGATAAAACAGTGTTAGTGGAGAGAAAAAGGGGAAACAGAATAGGGCAAAGTGAGTGAAGGAGAGCCAGAGCTCTGAGCTCTCCTTCTACATGGCTCCTGGCCTTGAAGCATGCCGGCTCAAAATGGCACATTTGGCACAGGGATGTTTGCTCTGAGTCCTCAAAGCTACAATACATTTTACTTTTATCCCAACAGCTGTGCTTCCTGCTTCGCTTTAATGGCACAATTTAGCTGACCTCTTCTCTCCGTCTTACTAGAACCCAGGCTTGGTGTAGTATTTGTCTTAAACAGCGAGTGTTTCTGGGGCTACACCGACTCATAGTGATGAATCATAATTAAACAAAATGGTTAATCTCTCACCTTGGTGTCTTCTAGATAGGAGTTCTGATCTGATGCTTTAACCGCCAAACCCTGATTCTCGTTCAGAATTGAGAGTCGTCAATGTCCTCTTGATGACCTCTTGATTTAATTTGACAATTTTAATATCAGTGGTCGAAAGTAACTAGGTACATTTACTCTAGTATTTTACTTGAGCATTTTCATTTTTCTGCAATTTTTTACTTTGGGGTTATTATTGTATTTTTGCTTCACTACATTTATCTGACAGACATGGCTGTAAATTAGTTTTCAGATAAATGTTTTACATTAAAAAAAAGACTACGGTTTGCCCTGTTACCTTTTACCAGAAAATGTTCTAGTCGATTTCTTGTCATCGTGGTATTGGTACTTTAACTTAAGTCAGCAATCTGAGTACTCCCTCCAGCACTGTCAAATACCCAGGAGGCAGACATGAAAAAAGGAACACCTGGCATTATAACACAATCGGATACACAGCCCTGGCCCTGCATATACATTATTAATCCAACTTGCCTTAACATGCACTGTAATGGAGGATGTACAGCCACCAGAAACACCACTGATAAGATTACAGGCTGATATTGCTATATTATCTGTATGCACACACACACACACACACACACACACACACACACACACACACACACACACACACACACACACACACACACACACACACACACACACACACACACACACACACACACACACACACACACACACACACACACACACACACACACACACACACACACACACACACACCTTTTTCATCAAATGGAAGCTGCAGAAGACTCAAGGTCTCTTGTGAATGTCTGTGGGAAAAAACTGTAAGCATCTGGATAAACAGTCATAACCATATATGTGTGTGTGTGTGTGTGTGCGTGTGTGTGAGAGAGAGAGATTTGGTAGGCTGATATAACAGAGAAGAGATAACTGTTGCCTCTGCATTCACCTCTCTCCCTCCCTCTTTGCCTCCCTCCTATCCTCCCATCACACATGCCCCCCCCCACACACACAATCCCTTAACAAGCATGTGCACACCTCACAGACACATAGAAACCTATTGGTTAGCTCCTGCGTCATTACAGTAGCCATCTGTCAGTATTCAGGCACACATACACCGACTTGGCTGTGTGTATGGATCCAATATGTAAACACACACACACTCACACACACACACACACACACACACACACACACACACACACACACACACACACACACACACACACACACACACACACGGCATATCCACCAGCACACACATTTACCCAGGATATATCTCACCTTGGTGATCTTTACTGCCCTACACGCCCTGCTAGTATAGTGTGAGGGATTTTATTTAAAGCTTTATATTTACATGGATCAGAGGGGATAAAAGTTTCCCCTCCCTATATTCTCCCCTTTATTGTCCTCTTTCTTTTTCATTTCTCTCCATCCCAACCCACATCTATGTGTCTGTTTTTCGGCGTCTGCCAAAGACTGATGTCATTGTCCACCAGGGTACTTTCAGTGTGTGAGATGAAATGATGAATGTTGAGGTATAATCCCACGGTTTAATCCCAACTACTCTCAATCCACTGCCTGCACACTGGACAGCTGGAGAAAGTCCTCACTCTGACACACAGTTTTGTTAAAGCATACAAAAAAATATGCAGGGTTTGGAAGGGGGAGTGGACGACACGCATTTTGGCCTCCAGCAGCCTTTAATAATGATCTCACATTATTCAAATATGCCCACCTGCTAGGCTAAAAGAGAGAGAGAGAGAGAGAGAGAGAGAGAGAGAGAGAGAGAGAGAGAGAGAGAGAGAGAGAGAGAGAGAGAGAGAGAGAGAGAGAGAGAGAGAGAGAGAGAGATGAAAGATTATTTATTTCTCATGGGTGGGAGACAGTGAGTGAGTGAGAGTGAGTGGGAGGGAGGGCGGCAGTCAGAAACAAGCAAACTAATTCTCACCGAAGAACAGACAGTCGTGCCCGAGCAGGAGCCGCAGATAGTTCACCTCTCTGACGCTCTTTGCACATCAACAAAGAAACGTTTTTAAGCGCTATTTCTCTTCTTCTTCTTCGTGTCCAGATATCAAGTAGGACCAGAGTTTCCGTTTTGGATAGGGGGCTGCAAACACACGCACCCACACTTCTTCAAGCAGCGACAACTCAAGGTAAGGCATTAACTCAAAGTGAGATGAATTACTTTTGCTTTAAGCACTTGGCGGAAGGAAAGCAGTCGATAAAGAGATAAAAGAGATGTTTTGTGCGGTGCTGCTCATGCTGTTCATGATACTCCCTTTGCGGAAACCGCGCGTAAAACAGCTGCAGTGTAATTCTCCCAACTGGCACAGAAAGCAGGAAAAGTGTCTGTCTGCTCATCGTGCCAGGATAAAGTTAAACGAGACGCGGTCTGTATTATGTAGAAAACATCATTTTTTTTGTTTTGATACATGACTCTGCCTGTAGGCTACCCGATGCAAAGTGTCTATAAAGAGCGACTGTAAGGAACTTATTGTACTTTATTGCAGTCAAAACATTTATATTCCTATAATGTTCAGGCGTGTTGTGCAGCATTACAGTAAACAATATAGTTTAATGAGGATAGTCACCAACTTTGGTTGGTTAAGAAAGATAGGCTACTGTATTTGACGCGCACAGTTACAGGTCTTCATCAGAGTAGTTTTACAACAGCTGGTCCTAGTCATTTTGTCCCCTAGAGAAGTTTTCCATGCAAAGATAATGGCTGTGTCTGTAATAGTATTGAAGAAAACGAGTTCCTATCTGAAGTAAAAGTAATGCAAAGCGTTCACATGTTCCTTCTCACACCCTTATCACTGCCTGATTCTGTGAAACTGTATCCTTAGCTCTTCCAGTTATTCACTTGTTAATTATGCATTAAACAGTCCAGAAGCAAGCCACTTTACTTTCCCCATACTAGCTCTGCGTATTGACTGCAGGCGTATGTTAAATCAGGGCTGGTCCTTTTAAGTTTTAAGTGGGCATTTGAAATATCTGATAGCACAGTGAGCTCAAATGTTGAAAGAGAGGCTGTTGTTTAATATATGGGCCACATCATTGCTTTGGTGGAAGAGGGGCAGCTGAGGTAAGTTTGAATAATTTCCCATAAACGCATCAACAGGGATTAAATGTTTATCAAAGCCACAACAGAGAGTATATCATATATCATTTTTTTGCTATGAAAGCAGAGTCCACCCCCTACTGGCCTCATTAACTTGCCTCATGTGAGCTTGGGCAATTTGATGAACGGGGAGAGCAGCAGAGAGGAAAGACAACATCACAGAAAATCTAGTGCAGGCTACTACACTACTGCACCCCAGAGAGAGACTAAAGGAGGTTGCTGAACTAAGAAAGCGAACAAAGCGGCTGAGAGTGAGGCTGGGGATGACAAAAAGGGGGGAAGGCGACAGAAAAAGTGGGAAAAAAAATGTGGTCGCTCACATTTCGTCTGGTAAGAAAAGCTTGCTCTGATTTGATATAACAGAGTGCGAAGAACCTTCTATCAGACAACATTTTTCTCACAGTTCACACCTGTCTGCTGAGCTGTCAGCCTCACAGTATGCACCGTCACATAATGGTTTCACCCGGATCAGACCATCTGTGTGTTACCTGTACAGCTATCTGTCTCTATCTCCATGCATCTTTCTAAATATAACACTCATCTATCTACCTACCTATCTACCTACCTATCTACCTATCTACCTATCTACCTACCTACCTACCTACCTACCTACCTACCTACCTACCTACCTACCTACCTACCTACCTACCTACCTACCTACCTACCTACCTACCTACCTACCTACCTACCTACCTACCTACCTACCTACCTACCTACCTACCTATCTATCTATCTATCTATCTATCTATCTATCTATCTATCTATCTATCTATCTATAGCTGTCTATCTTCAAGTCTCCTTCCCCTCCTTTGTCCACGGCCCCTAGAGCAAACCTGTAAACTGCAGTATTTTATGTTTGAACTCGTCTCCTCTTTTAGAGTTGGTGGAAAGGCTGCAGCCTCAAAGACAAAAGGCTTTTAAATCATTGTGTACTTCTTCCTTGTGTACTGTACTGTTCATGGAAAAATCAAATCTGCTGTCCTTGGATTTCACTGCACAAGCCAGATAACTGACAAGCCAACACACACATAACCAAACAGAGCTGGTTTCAGTGATACACTGTATGTTTGTGTTCATGGACTTTTTGCTTTGTGTACACCAACTTGATTTTTTGGTGAGAATGGAAGATGCCAGTCTGAGGTTAGGACCTTCACCTGCACGTTGGGCCTGCTGCCTTTCAAAAGTCTGGGGATTCATTTAAAGAGATTCTTTATCTGACTGATCTATGATGTGCACTCAGTCAGAAACATTTTGAGCATATCGGCAGGATGTTAACCGTCCGAACGGATGGCTTTGTTAATCATCTTACAAAGTTATAAAAGAGAACTTGGATGTAACAATTTGAAAGATTATAGCTTTGCATTTTAACAGTTGTTGAACATGAGTCACAATTTAAGTCTTGCTTTTGACGTGAATGATTCGATCCTGTTTGTTTAGTTGAGTTCTTGTCAGATTTTAAGCAGGAAATCTGAACATGAAATACTTATTTACACTTTTGGGGAATTTGGGTATGGGAATGGTTGTAGTTTCTTGTATTTTCAGCAGATCAAAATTAAGATAAAAGGCATTTTAAAATCATTTTCTGCATTAGGAATGACCTTTTGTGTAGAGATGAAGTTCCGGTATTCTGATTGGTTATGAAGTTGAACAAGTTGGACATCCTTAGTAGAATAATCTGCTGACTTCTCAGTGCTATAGTTTAATACTAGCAGGGTGGATTTATTCAGTAAATAGGAAAATGCTGACGTGGTCATACAATCAAAGAGCTATACATCCCTGAAAAGTATTTTCATTTGGTTTGAACTCAATTAAATGGAAGAGTGAGTTGACTGCACACACTAGCCTCCCTACATCACTATTATTGACTACAAAACAGTTCATAGAGGCTGAACAATGTAGTTATTACATTACATCACATTAGTTATTACAACACTGATCCAATACCAGTAGCTCTGAAGTAATGCCGTTATGATGGAAAAGCATACGAAAGGATGAGGATGTAAGAGACTATGTTCCTGTTTAGAGTAACATTTGTAGTATTGATCAACTCACATAAAGTATTCCTCCTTGTTGAATCACTGCAGACTGAACAGAGAGGTCGAAGTAAATGTATTATTTAAAACAGAAAAATATGAAATAAAATATAAAAACCTCAACATTGATTATTGATATGATTGGTCAATGCTGAAGAGAGTGGGGGCAGTATATCTGTAACAGTGGATTATGCATGCAGCGCAGAGATACGACCTAAATGGAAAAAATAGGACACATTTATTTGATTTTGAAAAGCTTAAGCTCACAGGCCTACATAAAGAGTCCAAGGTTGCAGTCAAATAGTCCAAAACTCAGCTACTATCGTCTATCCCTATCGTCTATCCCTATCGTCTATCCCTATCGTCTATCCCTATCGTCTATCCCTATCGTCTATCCCTATCGTCTATCCCTATCGTCTATTCCTTGACCTCTGTGTGAAACGTCACAGGGTTAAGGAATAGTGGATAGGAGAATTCAAAAGGATTTAGGAGAAGAGACTGCGGTGCTTTGAGAATCCGACTGCACTTTCACTATCCGACGTATTTATGATGCGCCAGCGGACGTCATAAATGTGCGTTTGCTGCTGTGGGGAAACTACAGTTTTTTATACAGCGGACTACAACATGGATGTTTCATAAGAACGAGGGACTACTGTAAACTCATCTAGAGACTCTGCACCGTGCTCTGATGCTGTTGTTTTATGCTTTATGAACGGGGACAACAGAGAAACATATTCTTCATGACCAAAGTTGGAATTGAAATAAAAAAGGCAAGTGAAACTTATGCTCGTCACCCTCTCCCTCCGGTCCACATTAATACAAATGATCCCAATACGTATTATTGTATGAAAAGATCTTAAAATAAATACAAATGTATTTATTACAAACGTTAGTCCTTAACATCTATCATTGTGTATATCACCATTATTAAAACATCTTTTAAAAGTTGAACAAACCCCACACAGCTCAGTAAAGACTGTGAAATGTTAACTTTATTTGATCATTTCAGTAAAAACTAACGTTCATATTTCTCTTTTTGATTATAATACTGATGATCGTTCAAAACAAAGCACTTTGGCAACTTACCACATACGTTTTAAAATGCTTAAAAAGCACCGTAACTTTCATGATATAATTTCTCGGTTCTTTCAGTGAACGGCCGAATGTTGTATCACGGTAAATGTTGTGGCCGCAAGGCATTGTGGGACAGCACTTTCTCCTTTCCTTTCGTAATGGAAGGTCCAGTGTTTCCTAAGCTAAAGGAGGTTATAAAGGAAGTTTCAAACCTCCTTTCCTATCATCTAGACTAGAGAATTCGAAGGGCTCTTATCATGGCGGCCACTGAGGTACTTCTGGGTCATTTCACTCCGTTCGGAAGGTTCCTAAGCTAAACTGACAATTCGACCGCAGCCCAAGTTGAGTAACAGATCTCACAGGCAGGTAAAAAACAGACCCGTAGGCAGGGGCGTCGCCTGGACCTGAAAACATTCGGGGCTTAGCCCACAGTGGCGGCGGCACTACAGTGGCATTTTTTACTGCAACACTCCCCACACGCACACACACAGTACACCCGCGACTGTTACAATGAAGGCTCGATAATCAGCTCACGGCATATAGGCAGGGGTAAAGTGGTATTTTTTATGAGTGGGTGGCTCACCTCCTCTAGGGGGGTCCGGGGGGATGGTCCCCCGGGAAGATTTTTTTTTAAATATTGAAGTTAAATGCATCAATCTGGTGCACTTTGAGAGCAAAATGAAGAGATCTATGGATACCTCTCTCAACACCCATATGAAGCAGAACTGTAAACAGATGTACTTTTTCTTTATGGATATTTTACTAATCACTCCCCTTTTAAACTCTATTCTTGTTTTAGTGCCATATAGTATTTCATAACTGTTTTTCCTTTATTCTCTTTTTTTTAATAACTATAATGATCATATGAAGGTGTGCCGCGGAAATAATCTTTTGAATAATTTGTGACCAAACCGTTTGAGACCCA